GTCTCCCTCATTTTCTCTGACCCTCTACTTTACCAAACATGATATCCTTTCCTAGCGATTGGTCTTTCCCAATGATGTGTCTGAAGTAAGTGAGCCAAAGTTTCACCATCATCACTTCTAAGAAGCATTTGGGTTGTAGTTCTTCTAAGACTGATTTGCTTGTTCTTCTGGCAGTCCGTGGTATATTTAATATTCTTTGCCAACACCACAATTCAATTGCATCAATTCTTCTGTCTTCTTTTTTCATTGTCCAGCTTTCACATGCATATGTGGTATTGAAAAGACCGTGGCTTGGTTTATCCATGCTTATTTTATACTTGGTAACTTTTAGTTATTCACTTTTAAATTTTTGTGGTGAGGAAAAATATAGTTTTTTATTTCAGCAGCACTACTGGGTCTGAAGTTTAGGCTGGTCATCTAAATCATTGTCTCTGAAGGGAAAAATATTCTGGACACCACTTGGGATTTAACTGCAAGCAATAGAAACCAATTTTGGCTAACTTAAGTCTTTAAAAAAAAAAAAAAGATTTTATTGACAGAACCAAAGGAATAATCAGATCTCAAGAAGGTCAGGTATTAGGACAGCTTCAGGAGCTGCAGTGGTTAGAATGAATAGACAGTCTCTTTGGAGTGCTGACATTAGAGTGATTCTCCTCTGAAGTTTTTTGTTAATTGTGACATTCTGCTTAAGATTCCGATTACAAGGAGAGAGACTGTTGGCTTAGCTCGATTCACATGCTCAGTTCTTGTGTAGGAACAGGACATTAATTGACAGTTTCACTGTAAGCATAATAATGGAGGAGAGAGAGTTCCCAAAGGAAAAGAAGAGTTTTATCATCAGAGCTGGGCAAAGATAACAGATGTCCACTCTGCTCTGTAACAATGTGTCAGTGTTCACTTCTAACTCACATGTTGCTTTCTGACCCTAGTCCTGCCCCCCGTGCTTGTGCCAAGGCACAGTGAATATAACCCCCAGCTCAGCCTTCTGGCCAAGTTCCGCGGTGCCTCCCTCCACAGTGAGCCGCTCCTGCCACACAATGCCACCTATCCTGACTCCTTCCAGCATCCTCAGTGTTCCGCATTCCTCCCGTCACCCAGGCTCGCTTTCTCGCAGTCCCCATGCACTGCCAGCTACCCGCGTTCCCCAGGAAGTTCTTCTGAGCCAGCAAGTCCATATCAACACTCAGGTCAGTGAAAACAACGGTGAACATGAACATGTGGTGAAAATATGACCCAAGATAATTATCTGTGGAGAGACAAACATAATTACAATAATTGTATCTAACATACGTATAATGCTTTATAGTTTACAAAGCAATCTCCTGTACTTTAAGTCATTATGACCCTGCTGCCCCCCTCCCCACCCAGTCCTATAAGGTAATTAGGACTATACTCATTTTGAAGCAGTTACAATGTTTTTGCTGTGGTTTCTGGTTCTAATCCTCTGGAAGCTTATAGAAACTAAATGTATTTGAACAGTGTCCCTGGGAATTTCCAGGGATTTTTAAAAAAAGGGAGTAGACACAAGATTAAAATAGTTCTCTAATCCAAGCGAAGGAGCCCTGGTGGTGCAGTGGTTAAGTACTTGGCTGCTAACCGAAAGGT